AGCCCAACAACAGCACACTTGAATTTGATTATAGTGGTGCAGGCCTCGTGCAGGACCATCCACACTTTTTGAAGGGACGAATACAGAGACCTGGTGCACCGAATGCCACAAGGTTCCCAAACAACCCTCTGCAGGTTTTGAATTCAGAGTTGCCCTTCTCCTAGACCAGTTGCCATCCAAGGCTATAAAACCCAGTCTGTTCTGCTATTTACCCATAGCTGGAAGGAGAAGAAGAGGATTCACACCTTTCCCAAGGGTATTAGCACGTAAGTGAATGTAATGGATTCGACTGAATTCGAACACGGCTACGCGATATATATATATATATATATATATATATATATATATATATATATATATATATATATATATATGTATATGTATGTATGTGTGTGTGTTGTGTGTTTGTGTGTTTATATATATACGAAGTTGTTATACTGAAACGTTGTCAGTCAGAATCTTCCCAAATATTTTTAGAGAAGGTTTTCTTTATGAAACCGAAAAACTTTCAGCGTTAAAATATTAAACAAGTTCGATTGAACTATTTTCTCATATAAACAGTTCAAGAAATCCCTTCTGTTGATATAGGAATACGCAGAGATCAATAGGTTCTTATATCTTTATACAAGCTTGAAGTCCTCCACGTTACAAAGGAAATCAAAAATGATTTCAAAATATTAAACAGGCACGATGTAATAATTTTAAACAATTTTTATATAAGATCAACGTTCCGTTTAAATATGATCACGGAAGGGATTTCTTGAACTGTTTATATGAGAAAATAGTTCAATCGAACTTGTTTAATATTTTGATATTTTGAAATCATCTTCGAATACGTTTTCACAACATCGCCCACGTGACGACGACGTGATCATATTTAAACGGAACGCTGATCTTATATAAAAATTTCAGTTTTCTGTTTGGATTAGTTGTGCTCTTATGTCCATCGTCTTTTCATGTTGAATTTTATATGTTCTAATATTAATTATGTTTAATGAATATGTCCTGATGATGATCTAAAATAGACCGAAACGTCCGACGATGAATTTTTATTAACATTAATACAGCATAATTGCATATTAAGATTTTTGTTTGTTTTTCTGTATATTTTTTTCATATATATATATATATATATATATATATATATATATATATATATATATATGAATAAAAAGTCAAAAAAAAACATTATTTGTACTGTACTCTTAACTGAGTACACTAAGAAAATTATTAAAGATGGTTTAAAAAGAAATTATCCCTACTTTACATTTCCAAGATATAGACTTTTCCATAATACTCGCACCACTTCTCTCACCTTATATCAATCTAAAACTATCCCCCAAAAACTTATTAAAAATAAAAGAAACCTAATTCTTTTGTAACTGGAGATGTAACCTGGGGAACCAGGAAAAATATTTGTTTCTGATGAAATAAATTATAGTCATGGAACCTTAAGGTTGTCTCTTTCTTAATTATTTAGTTAATATTTGCTCTGAGTTACACTGAGCTCTCTGGATTACATCCCCTTTAGAATTATCCATACGGATTACCAAATCCTTCATTACCTTAATATATATATATATATATATATATATATATATATATATATATATATATATATATATAAATTAAGTTATAAAAAACTTGATAATCCATATGGGTAGTCCCAAGGGGGATGAAATCCTGAGAGCTCAATGTAAATCCAGTGATAATAATTTAAAGAAAAACAGACAATTTCATTAACATAATTTATTTCACCAGAGCTCTTTTAAGGGACGCAGGATCATTAGATAACACTTCTAAAAAATGAAACGAAAGATGAAATGAAAATGCACACTTTTGACGGGTAGTATTAAGTTTATGTAATTTAACAGAGAGGGTAGCGTGGAGTTGCGTGAGAAACAGGGTCGAGTTTAGAGAGGGTTTATTTTAATATTTCTTTCAATCCTACTTAGTATTGGGGGAGGAGGGATATATATATATATATATATATATATATATATATATATATATATATATATATATATATATATATATCAGGTTGTTTATATACATATATGTTTAAACAGAGCATATTTACATGATACTTCATTGGCATTAAGCCTTTTGGAGAGTTCCTCCTTGCGCATCAAATGAATCGTTTTCTTTTCAGTTGGCAACGTGTAAGGAAACTCATCAGCATTGAATGTTGAGATCTAAGGACTTTTGATTATTTCAGGTTGTTTTCCACGAAAGAATATTGAACGTTCCGAAATAACCACTAAGTATCAACCTTGGTCGATTTATTGTGCTGGCGTTTGCATTGCTGATAGTTTAATATCAGCAATGGAAACGCCAGCACAAGTACAAAGTATTAAGGCAATGGCTATGGACACATTTCACTGCATCTATAAATTGGTATGCTAAAAGAATTTGCAAAATATTATACAATGTAGGCAAACTCTTTCTCGTTAATCTTCTCTTCTTTTCTTCTGTTAGCACACACACACACACACAAATCTCTCTCTCTCTCTCTATATATATATATATATATATAAGGCAGGATGAGTGTGTGTGCGCAACGAATGAACGGCCGCAATTTTCGACGGATTTGCACCAAAATTTACATGCACATGCTCCAAATTAGCCGGAAGGCCAAGACCGGCTTTGCATTTCGCAACTCCCATCGATAGTGGAAATAATCGATATTTTCATGCTTCTACGGCACTTTTCATGTAGTTTGCCGCCATTTTCTACTGACCAGAGTGAGAGCCTATATCTGGCTGCCACGAATAGGCTGGAAGATTCTATTGGCCAGCGTTAGAGCCAACAGCTGTCTGACACGAATATTAACTAACCTGCTAGCATGCAAAAAAAATCAATAGCTGCATTCGTCACAAGTGGGAAAAATTTAAATCTGCATGGCACTTTACTCCAATTGGCGCATTCGCTTGCTTAAACTCAACGTTGATTCTGATTCCGCAGAACTGGTTTGGGTGTGAAAAAGTATTTGTTGTTAACATTCTTTTTTCATTCGGTTTTTCCAGTTACAAGTCCTTTCTTAAAGCTGATCTTTTTGTGTTCATTTTGTTTAGTTCTTTTTTCGTAACAGATTTAATGTTTAGTATAGAGCTTAGAAAAAATTCGCAGTGTGAGATAGGCAAGAAGTAAGGCATGTAGCAACATCATCATGGCAAAGGGCACTCCTTTAAAGGCAAGGAAGGGCAAAAATATTTTAAATCAAGTGATAGCGATTGCTGTATGAGGTTTACGATTTTTGAATCAAGCACGGGCAACACCGGGCCATGCTCCCCAGTATATATATATATATATATATATATATATATATATATATATATATATATATATATATAATGTGCTCCAATAACTTGGACCGATTTTAAATGTGTATTAAATATAACAGTCTAATGATTTTTTTCTTTCTCTTTCAGATTTAACAACTTAGGTTTTTGGCAACTTCAACCATGGAAAGATTAATTATCAAACAACGTGTTAAAGTTGCAAGCGTGCAATTGGAAAAATTGTTCGTAAATTCATCAGACTGGGTCGGTGGCAGACGTGAAAACACCATTGCATGCTTGTTTACGCCGTTCAAGTGAAAACAGTGCACGAGAATGTGGCCGAAAATCCAGACCCCTCTATTCGTCATTGCGCGCAGGAATTGAACCTATCCACAACAACGTTACATCATTTCCAACTGCACTCACGGTTGGTCGATTATGTTGACCCAAAAAATCGCGAAGTGCGCGAAATACATTTCTGTTGGAACATCCGTTTTCGTAATAGGCTTCGATAACTTTAACACGCTGTTTGAATTTTAATCTTTCCGCGGTTACCAAAGACTTGTTAAAGTCTGACAGAAAAAAGTCATTAGACGCTTAAATTTAATTCACATTTAAAATCTGTCCTAGTTATTGGAACACCTTCATATATATATATATATATATATATATATATATATATATATATATATATATATATATATATATATATATATATATATGATTGATTCTCCTGCACATATACATACAGACGCACAAACATATATGTATATGAGTATACATGAAAGTATATATATATATGTATTTTGTAATCTAATTATTTTTGTCTGCTCCATTCCCATCATTACGTGTGTCATATCCGGTGAGAGTGCGTAATGTGTATTCATAATACCCCTTAATATCAGGTTATCCTGGGAAATACTTAGTTTTTTGTTTTTTCCTCTCTTTTTTTCGTCTCTAATGACTTATTCACTCCTGCCATTCCTTCTGAATTAATCATCGTTGAAACTGGATAAAAAGCAACGGAATGACCAAATGAACATGCAAGCTGCGTTAAAAAGTCGGTTGCCTCAATTCTACCGCCTTAAGAAAGAAATATACTGATGAAAAATGTGGAAGGTTATCATTGATTTTGTTTTTTAAACATCGTTTGTCTATATTTCTGAGATGAGGTATTGTAACTATTTTCACTATTTACTTTGTTCCGAATGTTCTCCTCATTTTCATTTTCATATTCACGAGGTTTCGGCCGTTGTACACTCCAGCCTACTTCAGGATTTGTCTATGTTTCTGAGATGAGGCATTGTAGCTATTTTCGCTATTTACATTGTTCCGAATGTTCTCCTCATCTTTATTGTCATATTCACGACGTTTCGGTCGTTGTACACCCCGGCCTTCTTCCGGATCTGTCTATATTTCTGAGATGATGTATTGCAAATATTTTTACTATTTACCTTGTTCGGAGTGTTGTCCTCATCTTTGTTGTCATATTCACGACGTTTTTGGCCGTTGTATGCTTCGGCCTTCTTTGGGATCTGTCTATATTTCTCAGATGAGGTATTGTAATTATTTTCACTATTTACATTGTTCGAACTGTTGTCCTCATCTTTATTGTCATATTCACGACATTTATTCTTTTTACAATCATTGATTAGTTCTGATTGACGAAATTCAATATCCTGTGAGCCGTAACCATTTTTTGTCTGAATTTCTGGGATGAGGCGTTATCATCTTTATTTAAATTCACCTCAATGAAGGGGATAACACTAAGGTAACACTACTAAGATGCAACGAGTTTACTGGAAGTGAGAGAGTAGAAAATTACCTTAAAAGAAGCCTGAAATCCAATCTCAAATATGAAACAAGGTATAACACACTACCGGACGATAGGTGGGGGTTATCTACTCCTATTGAACTATTCGTCGACGGTTATGCCAGCACAAAATTACATGTCATCGTGGCTGAGGATTTGAGCGTACTGGCCTGGTTGGAATTATCATTCACACTAGATAATTCAGTATCTCTCACAAACTGTAACTAACATCTATTTATAATAGTTGCAGTGTAAACCACAGGTAGCCTTTGTGGGTATTGAAGAAACACAAATGTGCCTGAGAAGGCGTCTGCAATAGGGATTAGCTATCTACCCGACCCAGTTTCAGTAAAGAAAGTTTGGCTCGAGACGTTATGTTTTCCAGGCAATTGCCGATGGGATTACCTACTCAGATTGATATTATTAAGAAATCACCCCCTTAAAAATTGCCTATGAGGGGATTCTTGATGAACACGTTATCATCAGTCAGTCATACGATACTTACCTGGCACTTGTGTTTCGGCCCTCTGCTGGTGGTATCACGGCTAGGTTGGACCGGCTCGAGTCTGGACCAGCTATGACAAGCCAAGGCCAGCAGCTCTGACCAGCTTGGATAAGCTATGACCAGCTAAGACCAGGTTAGACCAGTGGCCCGAGTGGAAACACTCGGGTTCCCCACGTTAAAACCGACCTTGTGTCATATCCTGACTCAGTGGAGCGTCAAGTAAATATTCATGCGCATACTTTCATATACTTTCATGAAGCACCGGTTCCCATACGATCACCGAAGTTAAGCAACTCCGAACGTGGCCAGCACCTAGATGGGTGACCGTTTGGGAATATCAAGTGTTCTAAGGTGGGATGTGCGAGTGGTGTAATGAATAATGATTCGGAATTGTCAATCGGAGAGCCGAGTTCGAATCGGGTTTGTTATATTCACTTACGCGCGCAAATACTCTTGGGAAAAGTATGAATCCTCCTTTTCTATCCCCACTATGGGTTAATTAGTAAGACGTGTATCACTAAACCATTATTATCCCCAAAGCTAAAATATAATTGTGTACAAAAAATATTTAGATTTCAGCAGAGGTTGATATAACTCTAAATAAATTTTAACCAAGTAGAACTTTTTTGTTCTTGCTAAACCTATCCACGCTTTGTCAGTTGCGGATTGGTGAGGATTCACAGCTGTCCTTCTATTAGACAGGTTGCCATCCAAGGTTATTTACCCATAGCTTGGGGGGAGAAATAATTGAATTCAATCCGAGCCGCTACCCAACACGCCACCATATTTTACATAAATTCTCATATTTTTCATTACTGGATACTTTTTCACCATTGATCTTAACGTATTTTTTGTAATATGTGGGTGGTAAGCTGTGGGCTCCTATCCAGGTTTTCTTAATGAAAACTTGTTTTATCCAAAAAGAATTTGGCACATTTCCCTTAGACAACTCACATTGTTTTGTTTAATATCATTCGCCTGGGTCCCAAACAAACAAAACAGATTAATAATTTGCTGTTATTTTGTTCTTAGCAGACCGAAACACTTGCCTTTCATATTAAATATTTTTACTATTTTTGGCAGTTTTATGCGCTAAGATTAACAGTTAAAATTCAAGAAAATGACTCTTGTGGCTTATCGTTAAAAATAATGTTTTTTGCGTTTATTTTACCAATGATTTTGTACAAGATCCACTTGAACCGGATAGTAAGTGGCACAGTTTATGGGGAGCTACTAGATTGGCAACTAGGTTTTACTATTAAACTAGCTAGATAAAACCGCCAATTCTACTCCAACAGTTTCTTTTCTCGCACTTCCCGACTGTGGGATTTGTTATTTCCCTAATAACTGCAATCTTCAAAAATTGAAATGCAACGTCAATCGCCATCTTGTGTCTTCTTGAAGCCTGTTCCTTTTTTTTCTTCCCTCTTGAAGAATCTGCTTGAATGGAGGTTACATATCACCAATGAAATACGATGGATTCGTTACAATGTGCCTCTTAACAGAGGGATGTCCTTGTGCTTGATATAGAATTTCTAACTGAAACAATAACACCCCTGATAAAAAAAAATAAAAAAATGACCCGAAAACTGGTGTGGGTTTGATGCATTTAATCGACCAACCAGAGGAGACCTTATTGCGTACGTGGGATTAGACGCCGGTACGTTTAGAAATTCGCTCAGAAATGATACACCTTTGTCTGAATTTGAACCGGGTGTAACAGAGGAATTGTCGAATTGTTAGATTAAACTCTGAATCGCTGTAGCTTATAAATGATTAAAGATATCTTACTGGAATTTTCTGAGGCTTTTATAACCTTATTGGACTCTGCTTTGAGTAATAAGAATCTATAATTACTCTCCAAGCTTAACAGAAGAATCATGACGAAATCGATCATAAACTAAAATTATATGTTCATCATTAATTAAACATAGCTAAGGATCAAAAGCTCATGAAGGATTGAAATAGAGTTCAAATATATATATATATATATATATATATATATATATATATATATATATATATATATATTATATTTCTGGGATCATTTTCCAACTTAATCAAGATGGTCTTTGCCTTCTCTAAACTTCTAACTTTCTGTCCTGGAGAAACAAGGTGTCTCACAGGTTTCACGCATGATTTCATTTACAAGTCTTTTTTCGCTGCTCATTGGACTGTCATAACTCCTATCTCACGTGCTATACGTCTTATGGATTGAGTTGGATCTTTTCTAGTTGATCTCTTTAGCTCTAAGTTGAAATGATGATCCCTCTAGCTGTTTTGACTGTCTGATCGAGTTTTCCTCTCTACCTTTCCTTCTTTTTAAAACTTATTCACTGTTCTCTTGATGGCTCTTGAATGTTCTTTGAAGATGGAAGCCAGAATATGAATGTTGGTACCATTACTGAAGGCCTGAGTGATGTGGCACCATTTAACGAGACAGAAAAAGAAAAGAAAGAAAAGAAGAAAAGGAGAGGCTCAGGACCGAATCGTGGATGATAAGCAGAACACACACACGGCTAAGAGACAATGGATAAGGGATATTTTGATAAGTAACAAATGGCGAAAGGGTGTCATTACAATGACAGGGAAATTCTGAGTAAAAAGAAAGGGAAAGAAAGAATCAGATTTGTTTTGGCGACGGCTGTGTTATCTAAGGATATGAAAACAAACTATTGGTACGGGAAGGCATCTTATTATCAACTACAGACCGACTTGCCAAAGAAAAATTCAAATGAAAATGTTATTTCGATAAGTGACGAAAAAAAAGGCAACTAAAAAGGACTTTAGACAGATATGAAAAATTAAAAGCCACCCACGAGTGTCCGCTGACCGATTTCCTTCGACGGAACATCCTTGGCCTGCGATAATAAAATTATGTTATCAGAAATATGTACCGAAGGGAAATGAATGGGAATTTAGAAATGTCTTTTCAAACGACGTTGGCCATGTTAAGAAGACCACCCATTCGGATAATTAGCGATAAAATACCTGACGAAAACCACGTGTAGAACAAGAGTTATGACCGCCATTGTTCATATTGTCCCGTTTGCGGCTAGAGAAATGATAACGGCGATTAAGAGGAAGAAAGGGAAAAGAAGGGATAATTTTTTTTAGTTAAGCAAGATATTTTTTTTCTTGAAACAAAGCCGCGGATTCGTCCACGCCCGACTAAGACATCATTGGTCAAGTGGTGGTCACGTGACGCATGAAGGAGGCTGTCGCCGCCCATCCAGAGTGTAGGTATGAGAAGCTGCTACGAAGAAGTGGGGAGGGCAGTTCACGCCCTCTGAAGTATGGTGAGAAGTTGGGAGTGAGGAATGTTTCCCAAAAATGGAAAAAAGTGGAAATTCCTAACCAGAGAGGTGGATATGTATTTAGAATTATCGAGGAAACCCCGACGCCGCCAGACCCACCCCGGTTTTGGTCGGCGTCCATATAAGCGAAGGCACAACGAACAGAAATCAGTTCCAGTGAGTTCCAGTTCCAATTTCAGTTTGAGTTGGAGTTGCAGCGAAGAGTCAGTCTCCAGTTGAAGCCGCCTCGCAGATAGCTGACCAAGATTCACGCAAATTCCGGACTCCTCTTCAACCCAAGAACAATTATTTTGAAGAGCGACTTAGATCCAGACCACCACAATAAGTTTTTTTTCGACTTTCGTCCAAAGACACACTGAAACACCAATTTCTTAGAGAGCAAACAACTTGAAGCGTTAAAACTTGCCTAACGGAAAACGACGTGTCACAATCCATAGAACGGGCCGGGAGATAGATGCAGTCCTATGTATCGAACAACTAGACATAAAGTTTGTTACCTTTTTCTTTGATACTTTGAACTTTTGAGTTTTCATTTTCTTTTCTTTTATGCATATTTGTGTGGTATCAGCCCCAACCACTGTTTGATCTCGTCTGCCTAAGATCAATTCACAACGTGGGTAGGCAGACTGGGGATCAATGCAGTTACCTTGGTAACCAGGCGTTGGAAGCGAGTTGGGAACGACGAGGCTGATATCAAATCTAACCAGATTCCCACTCGAATCACCAAAAGGTTAGAACGTCACATTTGGGTGCCGCGACCGATACCAAGCCAGTTGGTTGTCACAGGACGAGACAACACGACTGACGCGACAGGCGGACGTCACGTTTGGAGCAGCGACACCCGAACGGAGCAGCGAGGAGCGAACAGCTGGCGCCGCGGCGAGGACGTCACAATTGGTACTGTTTAGGGACGTCACAGTTGGTGCCGTGGTAGACCAGAATAGAACGTCACAGTTGGCGCTGCGACCAGGGGACGACGTCACAGTAATCTTTTTTCTCTCACCATTGGTCAGTTGAGAAGATAGTGAGGCTGACACAAAACAATTTTAACCTGCTCTTTTCAGCTGAATAACTCAAAGTGTTTTCAAGTGATTCATGCGGAAAATGCTGTCAATATGGCTAAAGGTCTAACCTGGAAAAACGAAATTCAGTTACTTTAGTGATTTTTTTAGATATGAAACATTTTGTGGGCTGGACAATTATCCCATGGTGTTACACGATTTAGACAATTTTGCTGTTACAACCGGTATATTGTCTGAGCGCCGCATTTTCAATGACATGTCGATCAAGGATATTTAAACAAATGTCACATCGGCTTTTACCTCATCTCTACAGTCCGGCAACAGTAGTTGACAGTTTACTGCAATACAAAGGACATCTTCTTCCATGACAACATGTTTTATATTATTCTCTGCATTGTCTTGCCAGGAAAACTTTCAGTCTTCCTTCGCTATGACCCTTTCCTACTGAGTTTGCTAGCCAATGAATACTCATCAACCAACCTTTAGCTCCATCTGTTCTCCTTTCTTTTTGGCACGTGTTCCATTAATATATATTTTGTTACTTAATCGCATCTATGATAGCTCCTATCTTAGTCTGTTCTTTGATCATTTTTTATCATTTCATCTTAAAGAAAGCAATAAAGCCACTACGACGAAAGAGGTGTGAGAGAATATGAGACAAAAACGCTATTAAGGAGAAAGAACAAAAAAAGAACAGCAATGAAGAAGACAGAAGATAAAGATTGATATTGCATTTAAATATTAAATCAGAGACTAGCACTAGCGAATCACAAACAAGGAAATTTACCAAATAGCAAAAAACATATCATTTGAAGGACTACCCACAGCAGCAACTACTAAAATGGATAGTTCATTTAACTCGAAGAGAAAATAATGACAGAATCAAGATATTGATATTTTACACTACTTCAAACTCTTGTTTTTCTTAGAAAGATTGATAACGTGGGTCATGTGGAGGCTACTTTCCTTAAAAAATTGTTTTAAGATAAAATTTTTATACATTTCAATTAGCAGTAACGCTAATTTTTGGATCAATGACTGCCAAATGTTTCCTGTACGGCTATTTTCACCTATACCATTAAAATTATCCGGGAGAATATATAAACTAGGGTAAGTAAAAAATATGATCGTAATTTTAACATAACCACGTGTACATATATATATATATATATATATATATATATATATATATATATATATATATATATATATATAAGCATTACGCCCGAGCAAGGCGGGAAGCCACTAGGATGCAGGGGGTTGCAGAAGATTTGGAGAGAGAGTAAATAGGATTGATAGAGGAAAGGATGGGGAGGGATAGTGGATAGATCAAGGTAACTGGAGATGTCGATTGACATTACATTTGAATAGTTGGAGATTATAGCTCTCAGGGAAACAGTAATAGGGAAGGGTGTTCCACAGGCGAGAGGTGCGAGATATGAAGCTATTGGAGTAGAAGAAACGGCTACATTTAAAAAGTTTCTACAGTGAAAGGGGGTGAGAGCGGGGATGCCAGCCTCGTAGGGCGCTTGAATTCATGAAGTCTGGGAACCAGTGAAAGCAGCTCATCGGAGCAATTACCATGAAAGTATTTGTAAAAAAAAGACAGAGAGAGGCGACGGTGCGTCTGTGAGAGAGTGACTGTAGACGAGATGCCAGATCAGGGCCAGTTATATTACATATCCCCCTCTGTATCTTGTCAAGAACTCCGAAGTAAACAGAAGGTGCACCAGACCATATATGGCAGCAATACTCCATGCAAGGGCGAATGGTTGATTTGTATATTTGAAGTATCGGGGAGTAAAATTTTCTGGCGCGGCACAGAGAACCAACTTTCCTTGCGGTGGACGAAGTAATTGACTCAATGTATTTGTTCCATCTCAGGTCAGCAGTCAACGTGAGACCGAGCAGACGCAGGGAGTTGGTTTCAAGAAGTTGAGCATGAAGACAAACTGTTTCGCTGTATCACATTTCATCAATGTGATTAGATATCCGATTGATTAAACCGGGATCGAAACTCGACTGATGTGGTATCAGGCGGAGATTTTGCCCCTGAGCTATCAGCGCCCGGTAGAGGGGAATGCGAATTTTTACGTACTTATTCTTTGAATAAACACGCCAATGACCAAGATGGCTCAATTCACAGAAGAGCTTTTGCATTATTAGCACACTACAGTTCAACGTTTTGAGGCCAACCCTGGTAATCTTTTTTAAATTGAAGAAAAAGTAGCTGTATTGTACTTTAAGTTAGTGAAAATTAGTATATATGGTTAAAAAAAGAGAGATATTAATTTTTATTAAAAATTTTAATCTGTTAAAAAGAAAAAAAATAATATGAATAAATTTTACTCGCGTCAAAATATCCTCCTTTAGCCTTGACCACTGCAGCACATTTTTTTTTCATTCGTTGCAAAAGTTTCTCAAAATATAAATTTGATAACTGATTCCATTCTTTTTTCAATGAGATCTTTTTCATTTTTTCCCCTCTTCTTTCTCCTATGCTAATTCTGGGGTAGCTTCAAACTTTTTGAACTGTAGTGTATATATACACGAATGTTCAACCAATACAAGGGCAAAGAGACGCTCAAGGTAGAGTCAATGTTTTGTTATATTTAGCGTAAGAAAGGGTATGAAGTGAAGTTCAGTGTCTCATGCAGGAAAGATACCGGTTAACGCTAGATTTGAAGAGATCAAGATTGTAGTGACTGGGAAAGCATTCTACGTGTGACCGCTCCACAAAGCGGAAGTTCTTGGAAAGAGATTATCGGAATGGTACTTACTTCTTACCTATGAGGAATACGAAGGAGGATAGGGATTAGTCATTCTTGTATACATAGCATAGTGGGTCAAAAAAAACAAGGGTGATGCCATGGAAGTAGCATGACATTTTTCTGTGGGGAAGGGGTTTTAAGAAATAAAGATTCATCAACCACAAGGCCGCGTAGATGCTTATGAACTTTATCAAGACAGGTAAGTGAGAACTGGGCCGCACCAGCCCATATATGTCAACAATACTACCTTTTCGCTTTGATCTGGTGTTAAGAATGCGAAGGCTATGGCCAAAATGATCAGCAATTGTGGCGATTAGACCTGTGGGCGGGTATTTTGACAGAGATCGGTTGCCTTTGTCTAGGTTTTGAATACAAGTCCAAAACGGCGCGAATTCAACCGAGGGTCTCAAGATTTCTGAAGCGTCGATATGCCTTCCACACCAAAGCTTTCAACCTGCCGAGCGACAGTGACCCAACATGCGACATTAGTTCTGACTTCAGTCCTCTTGCTGCATCTAAGAATACAAGCTGCCACTCTTAATGAGCCGAATACCAAAAATAAATTCCCCTTTTCATTGATACCGTTTTATTTTATAAGATGGGGACCCAGAGACGACACGGAACACAACACTGGCTAGTATAAAGACATAGTATAGAAGCGGGGGTCTGATACTTACTGGAGTGGTACAATGAACCGACATTTTTCTCAGTATTTTTAGCGATAGAATATGAGTTCCATTTGATGTGTGGGTAAGCTTGATTCCTAATAGACTTTACACGCCCATCTGTCATGATGGATGAAAGTCCAGGATTTGCTCGTGATAAGGATTGTTAGCTCGATTAAAAATAATACTCATCGGAATCACTATATGAAATATTTTCCGATGCGTGAAAACTATTCTGAGCTGATAAACTATCGACAGATTTTTTTCTTCATATTTTCTGTATACATTTCTTAACTTAAACAGAATCCGTGCTTAAAGAAAAAAAAAAAGTTTGGAATGTTTCCCGATACAACATCAGAAAATTTTTTTACTTCTTTAACCAACTTTAGCAGTTTGCCAAATGAGGAGCCACTGCCTGTCTTTCATCATTCGAAATCATGGTTTTTAGTTACACTGACTATTGGCGCCTTTAGGAAATTCGATATAGTTCCACCTACCAAGTTGCGATAAGTAAATTGTCGCTATTTTATATTTTTAATTTCGCGCCTTTGTTTGTTTGTAATTTTGTCGACCGTACAGTATAGTAGGGTCAGTTGGGCACCGTCTGTGCGAAAAAGAAACACAATGACACAATTCACTCTGCCAGAAATTTTGTTAACGGCATGGGGTACTGCTTGAAATTCGCGCAGGAAACTCCAGTACGGACATTTCAGAGTGCTTGGGTGTCAATCTGAGAACAGTGCACTGGATTCGGAAAAAGTTGGATGAGTCTAATAGTGATTACGAAAGTACGGCAGCTCGGAAAACTAACTTGTATCGTTCTGTTAAGAATTAACTCCCGAATTTGTTGGTGAGGGCCTCGGACTCAACACCGAGACCTAAATTGGGGTAGTGCTGACCTGGGTCAAGAGGGTGGCTGCTGGAAGACCTTATGTCTGGCAACAGAACTCTGGACCAAGCAACACAAGTGGAAGAACCCAGTCATGGTGTCAGACAATTTCTGAGATCACATCACCCCTTACATTTGGCCACCCAACTCCTCAGAATGAAACCTCTTCGATTATTATGTGTGGGGCACAGCTGGGAAAGAGACCAACAAAACCCCTTGTAACACCAAAGGTTGACTAAAGAACTAAAGAACTAAAGGAAAGGATTATAGCATTATTCACCAACTTAAAGAAGAAAACCGCCCAGAAGAGATACGGTAGATCCCGAAGTTGAAGTCAATGGAGATTTTATTGAATAAATGTAATCTTTAATATTTAAAGATATTTTGTGGAATTTTGACAAATCTGTTAAAATGGGATAAGAGTGTTATTTTCATTTATGCGTAATTTAGACGACAATTTATCTCTTATTGTGTCTATATATTTTTCCTTTCCAGTAAGACGTCTTGATAATGTTGTGGACGGCTTACATCCCAATTGACGGATACCAGTTCCATTGCACAACATCTAAAAACACATTCCTGCTCACCTTGATATATGCTAGATGACGTCAACTTACCAGGAAGTGACACATACACTTGATTTTATGAACTTCCTCTGCGGTACATATGGAATGAGACATAAAGAATCCACTGAATAAACTGCAACGGACTGCCGCAGAACTTGCAGATATATGTTTATATGGACTTTTGTCGTTGTTTAATGTGAGGAACCCCGACCCCGCCGCCAAGTTTGTAAAAGTATTTTTGATACACCGTGTATATATAAAGATAGATATGGACATAATTTGATAAAAATAAAGAGAATGAGATAGATAGATAGATAGATAGATAGATAGATAGATAGATAGATAGAAAGATAGATATGAACAAACTGGGATAGATAGATAGATAGATAGATAGATAGATAGATAGATAGATAGATAGATAGATATGAACAAACTGGGATAGATAGATAGATAGATAGATAGATAGATAGATAGATAGATAGATATGGAACAAACTGGATAGATAGATAGATAGATAGATAGATAGATAGATAGATAGATATGGACAGACAGGGATAGATAGATAGATAGATAGATATGAACAAACTGGGATAGATAGATAGATAGATAGGATAGATAGATAGATAGATAGATATGATGAATGATAGATAGATATATAGATAGATAGATAGATATGGACAGACTGATAGATAGATAGATGATAGATGGATAGATAGATAGATAGATATGAACAAACTGGGATAGATAGATATGATGATACATAGATAGATAGATAGATATGGACAGACTGGGATGATATAGATAGATAGATAGATAGATGGATAGATAGATAGATGATATGGACAGACTGAGATAGATAGATAGATAGATAGATAGATAGATGGATGGATAGATAGGGATAGATAGATAGATATGGACAAACTGGGATAGATAGATAGATAGATGATAGATAGATAGATAGATAGATAGATATGAACAAACTGGGATAGATAGATAGATAGATATGGACAGACTGGGATAGATAGATAGATAGATAGATAGATAGATAGATAGATAGATAGATAGATAGATATGAACAAACTGGGATAGATAGATAGATAGATAGATAGATAGATAGATAGATAGATAGATAGATAGATAAAATATGTGTGAATAGATACGAGATAAGTGAGGCATATACGGACTAAATAAATAAATAAAAAAACTAGATGAATGGTACTGAATCGTACTGATATAAATAAAGCCTAAGAATGGTACTGAATGGTATTGATATAAATAAATAAATGGTATTGAATGGTACTGATATAAACGTGAATGCTGAAAATAAATAAATAAATGGTCAATGGTATTTAAACGTTTTCATCTCAATTTTATTTTCATCTCAATTTTAACCGCACATCTATTTCTAGGTCTGTTATATATAAAAATAAAGAAGAGAAGTAAAATGCATAATAATAATAATAATAATAATGGTGAACTAAGAGACTTTTTCTCCGATTTAAGAATTCATTTCTTGGACGATTTTCTGATTGAATGAAGCAGGTTATATTCTGACAACATAAAAGAGAGTAGGAAGTTTGTAGAGTTTTGGTGTTTTATTATCTTCATCCATTGTTGCGTACTTAAATAGCAACATCTACATCTACACCTGTTCTTCAGACCAAACCGTTTCCTTCCAGTTCATCTGCATTCCGTACATATATTAAGAAGCAAAAAAATAATTGTTTTCGATCTCCTCTACCACTTCTCTTTTCCTTCAATTTTACTTTCTATAAATCTCTCCCTCTCTCTCGGTATCTATCTATCTATCTATCTATCTATCTATCTATCACTTTTATAGGAAGGTTCACTCTGAACAAGGCTCGATGGCCACTCGAGGTAGAGGCTTAAGTTAAGGAGTAGTTTATATGGATAGGAGGGAAAGATTAACGGTTAATTCTAAAACTGAATAGGTTAAGATTATAGTGATTGTGGAAACATCCTGGGAGACTGTTGCATAGAGCATTGGTTTGCAGGAAAAAAAAAACTGTTCTAGTAGAACTTACTTTTCGCTGATGGAATACGGAGGGAATGTGGCTGCTTTGCTACTATGTAAGTGGTATGGCGGGTTCTATCCGTGATGATTAGAAGTGGCGGAACCAAGGAAGTAGCGATGGAGCAGTGAACTGCTCACCACATCCCGCCAGTGAACTCTCTTTCTCTCTCTAGAATATAGATAGATAGATAGATAGATAGATAGATATCCTTTGGATTTCTATCTGTAGGACCACCTAAAACAATTGGTTTATGCAGCAAACATTAATAATGCAGAGACGATTCCTCAACATGTCATGGGGGCCTGTCAAACCATTCGACGCCGTCAATGATTCAACGGGTGTATGCGTTTGTAGAAGCAAGCGGAGGATATTTTGAACATGTGTCATGAGTTGCTGTAATGAGGTACAGCGGTGACATTTTGGATATATGTTTATATGAACATTTTACCTTGTTTTACTGTCAGGTACACCCACGCAAAGTTTGTAAAAGTATTTTGTATTGTGTCTTGGAGTGTACATTTAACAGCATCTATCTTAAACTTTAAACTTAATACCTACAAAACGAAGGATTTGCGGATATATATTTATAGTGATTTTGTCCTTCTTTTTAGTGTGAGAAACCTGCTCCCAAACTTTGTAAACAAAGATTGTTTTAACACACCATATATATATATATATATATATATATATATATATATATATATATATATATATATATACCGTGCCTATACACACTAATGGGTATGTCCCAATCCTCATAAATACGTTGTACACTAGTGGGAGTAATATGATGTCTATGTAGTCCATCACTTGCAGTGGTTTACCTACGTCACGCCGCTGGCGAGTATTTTGTTGTTGTTATAAAGATTACCATTTTCATTTCCAACTTCCGTTTTGGTTATTTCTCATTCAGTAACCCTTCCTAGGTTCCAACTTATCAGCCGGGTTTCGATTCTGGCTTGAAGCAATCGGATGTCTATCCACACTGATGAGCTGTGATGCAGCGAAATAGTCTGTCTGTGAATGACAATATATGTATGTATATATATATATATATATATATATATATATATATATATATATATATATATATATATGTGTGTGTGTGTGTGTGTGTGTGTGTGTGTGTGACGACGGGGAGAAAGAAGCAACAAATAAAATTGAATTTATCTCTTCCGACTTGGAGTTTGCGTCCTGGGGAAGACGATAAAAGTACATCCAACAGAAAGGCCTCTGATCAGCAGATTTTGAGGAGCGTGGAACCAATTCTTAATTGCTGATGTTCCCAGGTTCACTCTGACCCGGGGTGGTAGCACCTGTTAGGGTCCCAGCTATGGGCAAATAGTTCACACCCAAACTGGGGTTAAAACTCTATGAAAGTGTAAAAATAGGTTTTAATACATACCAGAAATACTTCGTAAAAAAAAAATACCAACAATATATTGTTAGAAAAAATGATATTACCAACGACAGTTTATTTTGAAAGAAAATATTTCCAGTAATGAAAGATTTGTTGGCGTTAAATAACCCATTGAGGTTGATATGTCGTAAAACAAACCAAACCAACCAAACCAAATGGACTTGGAGTTTCGCGGATTTACTGTACAAGATTTATCAGATTTAATAGTGAACTTATTTACAGAAATCATGTTCTGGAAAATATGATTTCTGGAAAAAATATGAAAAAAGTTAGATTTCTGGAAATAAATTCGATTTTACTATCAAACCTTCTGAGTGGATACTATATCCGTGAAACTGATAAAAAAGAACAGATATGTTAAAAATTTAATTATACTTGTTGCTATTAAGCTATCCTAAGAGAGATGGAGACCATACCAGGATTTATTATCAGTGGGCATAATCTTAACGATATAAGATACACGGATGGCACTGTGTTCATGGCCAACTCAGAAAAGAATCTACATGACCTCCTAAACAAGATGGTCGAAGAAAGCGTGAAAAATAGCTTGGGAGGCGGGGTCAGAGATTGACCTATATCTTCCCCAAGTGTAAGTGAATATCATGAACTTGACAAGAATTCGAACTCGTCTCTCCGATTTCTCAGTCCAAGCTGCTATCTATTAATCCAACGTGCCTCCTAAAGCAACTACTCAAAAATATAAAGTGACATCAGAAAAAAACTCATTTTCTTATCAGATTATTTAACCTATATAGTGGGGTGATTGTAAGAGAAATAGGATTAATTATCGATGGATACAATCTTAGCAACATAAGATACGCAGATGGCACCGTGTTGGTGGCAGACACAGAAAGAATACAGCAAGTACTTCTCGAGATGATATTGAAGGAATACGAAAAGAATCAATTGTAAGAAGTCAGTGTGTATTTGTCATTAACAGGTAAGACAAATCAAGTTGCTAGTTAGGAATTAGAGATGTTAGAATAAATTTATCTATCTGGGAAATATGGAAAATGTGACCACAGGAGGGTTGGAATAGCGGAACATGTCTTCCGGAAGCTAAGCAATGTATTCGATGAAGAAAATTTATTAGAAACAAAGATAACAATACACGGCGATTATGTGATAATCCTCTTATATGGTAACGGTAATTTTTCTAAGAGTGTCTGAAGGATTAGACACTTACGTGATATAATAAGTGTAAGAGGGGTTTAGAGAATTAACGATTAACATAGCCGATAAGCTTGTTCCAATCACTGGCAGAACAGAAGCTACGAGGGATAGTAAAGAGACAAACATTGCTTAGAGTTACAAAAGATAGGAAGCTATGGAGAGTCACGACTGACTATGTTCTGAAAGGAAACGGTACATAAAGGAAGAAGAACCACATCTTTAATTTTATAAAAATATTTTTTAAAAATTCTTGGGTAAATTTCCTGGCGATAAAAGAAGTTAATATTTTTTTTTCCTTTCTTCATGTTTATAACTAAGGTTGAAGAATTCTTTCATTTTTCAGAAAATGTCTCTTTAAAAGGGATCTGATCCTATACGTTGACCTAATTTTTACAATCAAAGCTTGGCTTTTAAGAAAGCCTCTCCATAATAATCCTAGGAATTGAAAGATGTGCAGAATGTAAGAAAAAAAAAAGGCGGGAATATCAAATACTAATTGAAAAAGCAGGAGAGTATTGTAGGAAAAACTGAAAAGAATTCATTAATCCCTAAGATTATGCTTGACGTCATAAGCACCTTTTAAGAAAGTTCCTCACCGGTTGGTCGTTACAAAAAGATCAAGGGATTTGACTTAATCAGTACTTGGGGAAATAATGAAACAAAAAAAAAACAAAAAAAAACAAAAAAACATGGGCTAATAATCGCCGTCAATCTGAGAGGATATACCGATTACAAAATCAAGTTTTGTGGAAGATTAGAAAAAAAAGGGGACAGGTTATGAGGACTCTAAAAGATCAAACTCCAAGCTCTGTTTCATGTGTTAGAGCAAGGTTTTTTCCCCAAGTTTAAATGGTTAAAAGTATCCTAACAGTCATAATAAGTGTATTCTATACACAAGATATGCATATAAACATGCGACAGTGTTATACTGGAACATACCTATTCTATTGTAAATAGACTCTCACTTATAACAAGTAGGAGTAGTAGCAGTCGCCAGTGGGCTCAGAGATTTGGTGAGTCAGTCGATGTCGGACGACCGTTAGTCGGATATTAAACTATCAGCGACCACCACTAGATTGCTACTATTATATCAAGTTCCTAACGTTTTGTACGTCAAACCTTTTTAGGACCGACTTAGTGAAATACAAGCCCCCACTGTGAAACTACAGTTTAATAATAGACGGACGGTCTGAGTAGTTATTGAGAAAAATTATCTAAATAAATAAACGACAAATTCTGTTTGTGTGTCTGAAATCCCTCTCACTTGGGCGGCTCTTTAGCCTTTTAGAATCAGAATGATACCGAGATTAAAAACCTGCCCTTTATCTGGTGCTTGAACATCCACCATTTGCCTTTCCGTCCAGATGGGAAGGGAAGTGTTAAAAAATTAAAATTTAAAAAAAAAAAATGAGTGATTTTAAATGTTTTTCATTTATATCGAGTTTAATGTAACACAAAAAACTTTGTGAATTTAATTTTCTTTTTGTTTCAAATTCAATTTAAAATATCTTCAAAACTTTGTTAATTGAGGAAATCAATTTTATTTCTTCAAAATGCAAAATGAATCAGAATTAAAATGAGAGATTTCGTGACGCGAGGCTTTGAAATTACATAGAGTTTGTGATTTGAAGATTCTAACTCAATTGAAGTCCCACGGAGTTTGTGATTTGAATAACTCGGCGTGAATTGGTATTTCAACCAAAAACGAACCTTCCAACCAAATCGGTCTTTTGACCAGAATTGGTCTTATAGCCTAAATTCGATTGTCATATAAGAATAAAATGTCACTGCCGACACTTGAGTTTGAACATAGATCGCCAGTGAGCAAACACAAGCGATCCCATTATGGAATTAAGTAGATCAAGTGACCATAGAGAAAATGCATAAGTAGGAAGTCGCGCGACCTCTAACTGATCCTCATTTCTAGTCTATCCTCTATTACTATACCGATCACTATTTCTACACTATCCTCTATTACTATACGCATCGCTATTCTCTACTCTATTCACTATACTATTTCTCTATTCGAATCACTATACGGATTACTATTCAAGCGAGTATTATCGAGCAAGTACTATTGGTACGAGTGTTATTCAAAGGCGTCTGACACCAGTATTGTTCAACGCAGTACTATAGTTGTATCTGCGATTGCAAAGTCTCTACTACCATGAGCCAGACAAAAGTAACAACCAATGTTCCTTGACATCACAAAATAGTTAAAGTGACGTTTTGAAGTTCGATGGAGTAAATTGAAGAATTCAAAGCTATTTCTTCAAAATTATCATTGGTGTTTTCTAAGCTGGACCAGAGGTCCCTTTGGTTTTGACCCTCCTTTTGTTGTGGACTTCCACAGTAGCTAGCTAAAATGACCGGTCGGAATGCAACTTTTAAGCTAGTTACAAATAAGATTAAAACATATTTAAAAGATTGTTGACAACGCTTTATATGATAAAGTAAATTTAAGATAATAATACCACTAATACGACTATGTGAAAAAACAGGTAAATGTAAGATGAAATAAATACTAGTCAAAAAGAATAACTAGTCAAAAACAAATAATTGGTAATGCGTCATCTCATATACGAATCGCTATTTCTACTCTATCTTCTATTCAAGTCAAGATAATATTACAACTAACATTATCCATGTAAATAAAACAACAAATAAAAGTAAAAACACACATGGCACAGTTGATAAAGGCGTTGGTTAGATCCAGTTACAAGACCCAAACAGTTGTGAGTTCAATACCTCGTTTAGGCAGAGAAATTGGAGAGGGGAATTAACAGGAGATAACTGATAACTGGCATCCATTAAACATGGCACGTGAAACAAGAACAGTCTAGCCCAGCGAGCGGAATAAAGGGTTCAGTTCGACATTCCAACCACCTGAAGAAGGCCGGAGCGTACAACGGCCGAAAATGTTATGATAACTATAGCAACAAAAATAAGGACAATAGTCCGAATAATGTAAATAGTGTACATAATACCTCATCTCAGAAATTTAGACAGATACAAAAGTAAAAACGGTTAGCAGTGGCTCCTTTAATTTTTAAAACAATCAAGAGAATATTACTACTAATCTATAAACATTTTCATGGTAATTGTTCAATTGGGCTTTCCTCATTGCTATCTCGACTTTATAGATTTAAGTACAGTGCATGATTGGCAGCTAGATCACGACATTTTACAGGTGAAATGTCGAGATGTAACAGCAAGTTTTATGCTAAGAGTTTCTTCTCGAGCATATCTCGCTTATGAGAGGTCCTTCCAGCCTTTGATTTCCAGTCAACATTGATCTTCAAAAAATTAAATTCAATGACAATTGTCATCTTTTGTCTATTCAATTTCTTTTCTTTTATTGTTCTTAATATTGTGTTTTTCTCATATTATTTCACATTCAGTAAACCCTTTCGTCTTAGTGGCTTTGTTTCTTTGCTTGGGGTGAAATGATTTAAAAAGAAATACTACTCGTAGAAATGAAGCAAGAGAAATAAAATGAAAGTAAAGATCGTTAAAAATTAATAATGCTTCATGTAATAAAAGATTGAACATAATATTACTACTACTAATGCTAATCTCATGAATAAAGCAACAGAAATAAGATGAAAGAAATGACAGTTAAAAATGAAAACTGGTTGATAATGCTTCATCTTATAAAATAAAGGCAACATTATTAACTAGAAATACACGTGAAAATTTTACGGTTTTTCCAGTAGAATTTTCTGGTGAATCTTAATTCTAAAGTTAATCATAAGCAGTTCATGGTTAATTCTACAATAAGAAAATATCCGTAGAATTCCCCCTATTGCATCGTTAAATATTTGATCTTAAAAACTTTAATAAAATATTTCTATAACAATCTTAAATATGGAAGCTGGTCTTTATTTTAAGAGGTAACGGAGTACAAATGAAAACATTTTAAATTAACAACTTTTTCCATTTCACTGAAATAGACGTTAAACACTTCAATCTTCCTTTCTTGTTTTTTTTTTCATTCATTTTCCCATTGAAATCAAGTAGCATCTCTAATATATCTTTTTCGCTTTTCACAACGGAATAGTTCATTATTTATGGGGTATCGGACAGGAAACTTAAAACACTTCTATCTTCCTTCCTTTCGTTCTCATTTTCTTACTGAAACCGAGTAGCGTCTGCGATATGCCTTTTCCGTCTTTCCGCGAAATCAAAATGAAATAGTACATTATTTATAAAGTATCGGACAGGAAACGTTAAATGCTTCTACTTTGCCTTCTTTCTTTCTTTCTTTCTTTCTTTCTTTCTTTTTCGTTTTCTCACTGAAACCGAGTAGCGTCTCTGATATGTCTTTTCTGTTTTTCCACGCGATCAAAAGGAAATAGTCCATTATTTATGTGGTATCAGACAAGAAACGTTAAATGGTTCTATCTTTCTTTCTTTCTTTCAGGTTGGTTTTTTCCATCTTTTCACTTGATCAAAACTGAAACCAGGTTGGTTTTTTCCATCTTTTCACTTGATCAAAACTGAATAGTCCAGTATTCATGAGGTGTTGGCAGAAGACGTTAAACTCTTCTTTCTTTCTTTGCAGAGTATACCGGTCTTGCTAAGGCAGTGAGAGGCTGAATTATAAAATGATAATGAACCTACTCGTGGAACTGATGGAATAGAAATACAATAAAATTCTCTTCAAAAATTAATAATGTTTGAAATGCCTTGATCTCATCAGGAATCAAAATAAGATTGCAAATGATTCTACTTGTGCACCTAAAGCAAAATAAGTATAATGAAAGAAATACAAATTACAAATGGTTAACAACGCTTCATCTGAAAGAATTCGTGACCGAAAATTAATAAGGACTAGATCAACACACACCAATCCACTCCAAAACGTCATCTTGAAATTTAAAAACTACAATATCTGTCAATATCAAGTCACCTTGTTATACATGTGTAGGAATCCTTCTACTCGGCTTTTTGTCAAACGTTAAAATTTGATGCAATAACATAAAATATTGATGCAAGACTGTTCGTAATTCGACCTTTTTTTTTAATAATTCCACGACTTTCATTGAAAGAATAAATCCAATAGGAAAAATCAAAGTAGTATTAACAAATAGCATTAATTTTATATAACAAGAATACAAGAAGTAGGTTGCATGTATTGAATGGGTAATGTCATTTTTGGATTCTTGGATAGAATATAAACTTGCATTGCGTACGTATGGGAGAACGATGAAATGTGGTTACATATGTGTTTGTGTGAAAGAGTCAGTATGTGTATGCGTGTGTAGTAGTAACGTGGCTTAAAGGGGATAGGTAGAATTTAGTTCTTACCGTGGACGGTGGCGCTGTAGCCTGAGGTGAGATCTCTTTGTAGTTTGGTCAGAGCTGCTCAATCGAGCGTTGCTTTTGCATGTGAACCTGAATGAGGTCTTGAATATCAGCAGCTAGAATGACATAAACCTTGGTGGTATTTGTGAGTCATTATTATTTTTTTTTTTTTTTTGGACCGGACCTAATGAATTTTATAACTTTTTTCATGAGAAATCGGCTCCAAAATCATATT